GGGACGCCGAGTCCCGAGCGGCCGGCGGCCGGGGCTCGCCCCCGCCCCTCCCTCCTCTCCGGCGGCGGCGGCGGCGGCGGGAGGAGTGAGCTGCGGAGCTTGGAATATGGTCGGGGAAATGGAAACGAAGGAGAAGCCGAAGCCCACCCCAGATTACCTGATGCAGCTGATGAACGATAAGAAGCTCATGAGCAGCCTGCCCAACTTCTGCGGGATCTTCAACCACCTCGAGCGGCTGCTGGACGAAGGTGAGCCGCCTCTCGGGCCCCAACCCCCGAGCCCCGCCAGGGGCGGCCCCTTTCCCCGCTCGGGATGGTGGGGAGGGCGGGAAGGTCACGGCCGGGCGGGACCGCGCGCCCGAGGGGACGGGGAGGCCGAGGGGAGGGCGCACAAAGGAGGCGCAGGGCCCGGCTCGCGGCGGGCGGGCCGGGGCGGACCCGCCGGGGCCGGACGCCCCCCGCCAACCGGCCCTGCCGGGACCCCGCGCCGCGGGCGCCCAAGTTTGTGCGCTGGGGAAGGCTGCAGGACTAGTCCTCCGGCCCTGTTAGTTTTCGTGGTCACATTTTCGAAAAGCGAGCGGGCGCTGTTCGGGCTCGGTGGTCCTTCCCGAGCCGTCCCCGAGCGCAGGGCCCGGGCCGCGCTGCCGGCCTAGAGGACACTCGTGTCCCCGGTCCCCGCGCGGCCTCCGAGCCGCTCTCAGCGCGGAGGTGCGAAGCCTCTCCATTTGTGGGAGCTTTGCTCTCCGAGGACTTCGGTGGGATTCGCAGGCGAAGATGTTTAGGGATCTTTTTGTGTTTCGGAGTTTGTGTAGGTTGTAAACACTGAAGTTGAAATCAGCGTGGGGCTTCTTAATTTAAAGAAATTCCGTAGGAGATCGAAAGTAATGCTGATGTAGCCCAAGGCGACGTCAAAATGACAGCGAAAAACACTTTTGGTCCTTTTGTTTGGGGAAGCGAGAACTGTTAGGAGTTTAACTTCACTTTTTGGGGGGAGGGGAGTACAAAATACCGCGATGACAGATCTAAACGTAATCCCGAGTTTGAAAGAACTTGGGCGGAGGATTTGCTCCCGGGACGCGGCCGCCTTAGTTTGTGAAATGGGAATCGAGACGGTTCAAGAGGGCGAAATAATTTAGCAAAAGTTTGCAAAAGGCTTTGTTGGTGAAGCTCTGTGGGGAGCGAAGAATGACAAGATTAATGTTGATCGACTCTAGAATTTCTTTAAGAAGTTCTAGTACCAATAACCTGGAGTATTAATTTCTAATAGCTGTGGGTTTCTGTGGACACCTAGAGAAAAAGCCAACAAAAGTCGTTTTAATAAGGAGTGTGTTAATTTTGTTTAGCGGCATTACCAGACTGAAGGAAATTGAAAGCTGTAGGTTGAAGAGGTGAACGGTGGATTTTAGATTTTTCACACGAAGTTAGATTTTAAAAATAGCTAGGGAAAGACTCTGAAGCTTAGGGAATTGGAATGGCACTAAAGAACAAAAGACCGGAAATATCTCCATGATAAAAAGATAGTTAAAAATCCCGGGAGCTTTTGTTGTCTTGAAAGTCATGGAAACAAACTTTAAAGTCAAACTGTTAGGCATTACTGCTTTCGTCGTAGTTTTGCTTTGCCGAGTGTTAAGCATACGGCAGTAATCCATTATTAAAGCGAACATTTTCCGCTATTGGAATAACAAATCTGTTAATTTCAAGTTTCTCCAGAGAAAACTTGAGCTGTCCCTTTAAGGGGTTCTGCTTTTCCTATTTGTGTTGGCATTTGAAAGATTGTGGAGGCAGAAAACTTTCTGGAATGTCAGAAAAAAAAATGCTGGAACTCTTTAACACTGAGCATTTCCTACCATGGGCGCTAAGGGGCGCCAGCTATTTTTTTTAAGCGTGGAAATGTTTGTAATGAAATGTGTAACACGCTCAATCTGACCTATATTAAATTTAGTTGAAAGTTAAACTATAGATCATTTCATTTGTCATTGCGTGTCTGTAAAAGCGTTCACGAACACTGAAAACATTTTCTTTAAAAATATTGGTACTTTATCACATTTTAAAAAGAATTGCTATTTTTTGGTGTATTTGAGTTAAAAGTTTTGGTAGTGTTAGTAACAATTTCTGGTGAAAGTTTTTCTTAACATTTGTTTAGAAGGAATATCTTACAGACATGAAACTGAAATTAGGCTATGAGAATTTTTAGGGTTAATTAAATAAAATTGCATTCATAAAATGTTGAATTTAATCAAAGAACATAGGATATAAACACGTTTTTGAAATAATTTCACCGTATGTGGTCTTTCTAAAAAGCTAAATCATTTTAAGTTTCTTTATTAGTTATAAAAGACTTCACTTGTGGTTTATGTTAACCTAACATTTCTAAATTTAGTGATTCTCTGTTAACAAGCTTTTAATTTTGTGCTTTAGTAATTTTTAATCTTCTAATTAAAGTCTAGAAATTGCAATTATGTCAATATTTCTAACAAAGTATTCTTTATTTCTTTCTAGTTGAAAGTAGGAACCATTTGAGTTTTAAACGTAGGAGACTAATAGAATGAATGGTTTGTCTTCTAAATAAGGTTTGCTTTCCCTATTAATATGGTTTACTCCATTTCTCAGTCTGTCGTTAATTTTAGTTTTTTTCAACTCCTGAGGGTAAAGATTCTGTATGGTCGCTAGTATGTTTAAAACGGGCAGCATAATGACAAGGAAGTTTGATTGTTTTTTATCAGACCAGTACAAACATGCAGGAAAAAGGACTATTCCTTAGTGTGGAATAAGCTGCTTCCTGTAATTGTTAGCCTTATTGTAAACTTAATTTGACTTAAGAAAAATACTGGTTTCAGAAGGGCATCACATTTTTTCTTGCTGGATAATTTAATTGTGAAATTTGGCAAGTTGGCATTAACCCTTTGGCTTGTCATTGCCCAAAACAAATTAATTATGACTTCTGTTTGTGGTCAGAAATTACATTTTACTTTGCCCATGATAGTTGGCGGAAAATTTACTTTTAAATTTACATAGAACTGTAAATTTTATTTCAGTGATTCGTTTAATGAAGTATATTGTACTTAGAGCAGATGTATTTTCTGATAACTAGAAATTTTGAATGAGACTTCGGAGTATTATTTAAAGATATTTTTTAAACAATAAGCTTTAAAAATTTGCCAGTTTTAGAATTTTTCCATGGCTAGTTACAAATTTGAGAATTAAGTGTGAAAGATTTCCTAGCTGACTAAAACGTGAATGCTGAGCATTTTAATTCTTTCCCGTTAATCTTTAGTTCTGTATCTTGGCTATAGATAATCTTTTTGTTTCACAATCTGTTTTTGTTTGGGCATGGTGGGGGAAGGTGGGAGGGCTGTCTTTCTTTCTACATATCTTCAGCCTGATTGCTTTTTAAAGTTGTGAATACATTCTAGGTTGGGTCAGTCATATAAGGGGCATAACGTCAGTTTAGAGTCTTCTACTGAAGATAGAGATGATTATAGAATTACCAGATAAAATCTAGGTCTTAAACTGATCTCTCTTCAGAGGATTTTCAACTAACCCTGAGATCATCCTTGGGAAAGAGCAGTTAGAACACAAAGATTGTTTAAAAGAAATACTTTTCTTTGTCATGAAAATGAAACTTAATACGAATAGTTGAATGCAAATTATGCTTTCTTAGGATTTTGCAATTTATAATTGAGGTGAAGAATAATATAAGTTTGATTCAAAAATCCCAAATGAGGGGAAACTAGAAATCGAGGTATTTTAAAATTAGATTTTGTGTTTTTGTTGTTTTAGGCAGAGGGAGATTAAAGCTGCTGATGTGAAAATGTACAGTTTGTGAGGAAGGACACTAAATCTTTTTGTTGTTGCTATCAGAAAAATTAGTGTGTGGCTCAGAAAAAATGAGCGGATTAGATTAGATGTTCGTTATATTTGAAGAATACATTTCCACTTTCTGATGGCTTTTTATTTTATAATAAAATTTCCTTTGACCTTAATTTAGTTTCTCACCTATCTGCTCTCTCCCTCTTAAGAATGTGAGCAAAAATATTTTCAATTAAAACTTGCTTTACTAATCAACATTTTTCTGTTAATGTTTGTTTATCATGCAATTATTGTTTGTATCATGCTTCATTTTTCCTACATTTGTTTATTTTATTTTTTTTTTTTTAGAAATTTTCTTCATTTATCAAGACTTTGGTTAAAAAGACAATAAGGCTATTGGCAGTGAGGGGACTCTTGCTATATGGGTGTCTTACAATTTTTTGTTTTCTGTTTGAAGAACCAGTCAGTTATTGTTGACAATACTCCTGTCTGTGATAAATAGATTTTCTGTAAGGTGAAGTACTGAATTTGTTTTTTAGGAGCTAAAATTTTGCTGTTGTACACAAACTCTTTCAGTTAGTTGTAATAAGAAGGAAGCAGGTATTTATAACTATTTCTTTTCTATTGCCTTATTTCCTCACCTAGGAGATGTCACCACGTACATATGGCAGTAATGGAAAGGATCCCATGTGTCATATTATTAAGGATTACTTATTCAGTGGTCATTTATACTTTTAAGTTTAATTCTCCTGTTGTACGTTTATCTAGTTTATTTGTTTTATAGTAAAAGTTGTATTCTAAAGGAGGAACACAATTGGGTTAATAATGTAGGTCTCTTTGTCATTATGTTTACTAGTGTTTGGTATGAACATCTTTTCTTAAATGTCTTTTGAGTGATATCATGTTAAAACACAGTAATTTGATTTCTTAAATGATTTGTTCACATTCTATTTTTGTTGTTACTGCTTTACTAGTCACTGTCACTGTGTTGGAGCTGGTTAAAATTCTTCAGTTTTCCATGAGAACAAACGGTTTAGACTTTTGAGTTTCCTTTTTACGGGAAATAGAAATTCCTTTGACAAAAGAAGTAAAGTAATAATAACCACCCCTCCCTTGACCTGGCCTTTCACTGAAGCATACTTCAAATGCTGCATTTTTGGGGACCAACATGTTCATATGTTAGGGATTTTCTTTTTCATTTTCTGTTTTAGTATTATAGGAATTAATTATACTTCTTGGGTTGTATTTATTGATAACTACAGTTTAATTCAATGTAGCTAATATGTTTTGTGTGATTGTAAACAAAATGCTGTTCTCTGTTGGAGATGGAAAATACTATGACATTGTTGGATTTTATTTATTGATAACTTAAAGACATCCCACTGAGCAACTTTCTGCTATTAGTATGTCAACTGCTATGAAATATTCAAGGATTTATT